ACAAGCCCTCTGCATCTCAAGAGTGTAGTCAGCAGAACATTTCTGAGAACATGGATGAACGTGCATCGACCTGCTCTCCTAGGCAGACCTTTCTGGGGAAACTCAAGAGAAACATGATGGTTCAGACGTCAAAGAGGAAGCGTAAGCATGAAACTGAGGCCAGGAGGAAATTTGGTGCCAGTTCTAAAATCCCCATAAGGTTGACCAGCTGTATTTTCCAGAGGCCAGTTAGCAGAATCACTTCCCACCCAGGCAATGAGGTCCGATGCAATCAATGGGAGGCGAAGTTGAAGAAGTGCCAATGGGTGTGCACATACAGGCGACTGCAAGGACTCCAGGCCTGCAGCACCACAGGAGAGCTGTTCAGTACTTTGGACTTCTCAGATGCATCACAAATAATTGCACTAGGTAGTCCAGTTAATGATGTAGGTCCATTAACCTACACGGAACCCACTCCAGTCCAGTACTCAAATGTGGCAGAGATCATCCCAGGTGTGGGCATGTGTCTCTCACATATTCTCAGTGGGCAATTGGTGACTCCTGTAGATATCAGGAGACAGACACAGAAAGTCAAGAAAGCAAGGGAGAGACTGGCTCTGGCCTTGAGGGCAGACAGACTTGCCAGGGAGGCAGAGAGAGCCAGGAGTCAAGAGGGACGTCCTGAAAACTAGATGAAAAAATCGAAGGGAGCGCAGAAGAAACTGAATACTGTGGCATTTGAGAAACAGCCCTGAGGTTTACTAGCATCTCTTTTTTCATGTCACCCCTGCTTTTTTTATGTTTTGAATCACTATGCTATGTTTACTCTCAAATGGTTCTTTATTAATCTCCTTGGAGAGACACAGGGTATGAAGAATAGATACTCTGTATAGATTGCATTGTGGATGGGAAACTGGATTCAATTGCATAAGAAAGGAGCTTTTTAATTTTCATTATATACCATGAATACACCAATTTCTATATACCCTGGCATTTATTCATTTTTTATGTTAAAATCTAAAGGAGTA